CCCCAAAACCCCAAAACCCCAAAACCCCAAAACCCCAAAACCCCAAAACCCCTTTCAAAAAAATTTACATAGATTTCTGTTAATATAAATAATTTATTTCGGGAAGAAAATGAGCGAAGCTGATGCAGTAAAGACACCTGTCAGGAATGCACAGGATTTGGTGGAGAGAATAGGGAATGACACTCATTATGAGATCCCAGATAACTCAAGCATTGAGAGAACCAACCTTAACGGTAATACATGTGAGAGAAGATCCGTCCAAGAGTGGAATGAATCACCAATCCAGGATACAAAGCAAACACCTTTGCGTAAGAAGGCTGCGAAGAAAAGGAAGAATAAAATGAGCAATTATGGAATCCTACCTAGGATGACTCCCAGTAAGATACTCGAGTCAGCCACCAAACCAGTGCTTTCACACACAAAGTCTACCAGATCACCGTTAAATGGGAAAAAGACAAGTAACATTGACAGGGCTAGTCTGAAAGATGAGAAAAGAGATCTTGAGAAAGTATTTAGTGATGATCCTAAGCTCGATGATTATGAGCAACTTGCTTTCAGTGCAGGCTCTGATCACGAAAATCGTACAGAACAGAACTACTATCAACCCAAGGATTCAGTGATGTCCAACTATGATATGATAAAGCAGGTTGACCAAGGCAAGGAGGATATACGCCAAAAGAAGCAGAGGCTTAAGGATCTAGAGGAAGAAATCCTTCACATCTCAGAGAAGATGACTAGCTATCAGAATGAAACAGACCTTATCATTGACGAACTCAGAGAGAGAATAGCTCAAAGGGAGGAAGTCAACCTCAAAATTAAGGAAGAGCCAATGTTTTATACCATGAACGGTAATCAGGAATTCATGCAACAAGATGTGTATTCTACCTCAGATGAGTTGATTAGCCTGCTCAAAGGAGGCATGGAGGGTAAGAACAAGAAATTCTTTGAAAGCTGAAAGACAGATCTTAGGCAATGGAAGGAGCTTGTAGGTGAAGAAATCAAAGCTTTCAACCAATTCCTTCAAAAGAAGCACAAGGTTTTAACTAAAGGTATGGTCTACCATTAGTCCTAGTTCTTTAACCATCTCTATAGATATGGCAGATGAGATTTCGACCTTCACTCCAGTGCTCAGCGGCAAGTTTGATTCATTCTAAGTTGGGTTGTTAATTAGAAAAATATCCAGAACGGTACCAAATGATTATGTTCAATCTCTCTCTGTTGGAAGGGGTTTTGGGGTTTTGGGGTTTTGGGGTTTTGGGGTTTTGGGG